GTTATAGGTCCCACTTATTGTTGTTGTTGTTGTTGTTGTTATTATTCTTTTCGACGGGTTTGTTTAAATAATAGAAATATTTTATGTCTATCATATTTTAATCAATATCATGTTGACGGATTAATTTCCGTATCTTGTTAAAAGGCCTATAAGAATTCCCTGAATTTTGCTCAGATACGGAGTTTTTAACTGGACTGAATTATTCTCAAGAATAAAAAGAAATAAAATCCAAAGTCTGGTGACTTAATGCTTCTTTGGGATGATTTCTAATTTGATGTTTTCGATGTTTTTAATTTTACGTAATTTTATTTTGAGTTTGAAAGTTTTTTTGGTATGCGACGCAACTTCTGCGCATTTAAATTCAATTTACAATCCCTGTTCTAGAATCATAAGCGATTTTCTTGATCATTGATTTTTCTTAATATATATATATATATATATATATATAATTTCTAAAAGCTTACATATTATTTTGCTTCCTATCATTATGTCGTATTACATTATTGCCATTCTTTATTTCTATATAGCAATCTGATCGGAATTATGACAAGTGAATGCACAAGAAAGGTGTGTAGTTTAGATCCTATAATTTATTTAGTTAACGAATTATAATCACCAATGTTAATGAAGTATTAGACTCTTTTTTACAAGGAAACATTTCGAATTCATTGAGTGAGAAGCCAGTACTGCTGTGGGTCAGAAAGTTATAAAATGTTCCTAGGAGCTGTTAACGACACTTCCAGTACTGATGGGAGGTCGCCTTCCTAACCATATATTTGAAGTAGTGTGGAGCATTAAGATCTTCATTATGCCATCGTTCTCTCTTCGAGTTACATGTGCTATCCATTTTAGTCTTTGCTGCTGTTGAAAGTCTTCAAGTAATGTGGTTTCTGCCATTTGGTACAGTTCTTTGTGGTTTTGTTGCGGCAGTTCACAATGTTCGGAGGCATTACTCGCTCAAAGACATTCTTTAACCATTGGTGTGAGTAACCGGTTGTAGACACCTGACGGTTAAGAAGTTTCTCAGTTGGGTTGGTGCAAGGCAGTTCATCCATCTGAAAGTCTCGAACTGAGGAGGCTATTTTCGAGGCTGCCGGGATTTAGCATTGGCGGCCATAATCTCAACAACATAAGATACGCAGATGACACGGTACTGATAGCTATCACGGAAAAGAAATTACAAAATCTCCTACAGAAGGTAACGACGGAGGGTGTGAAGAAAGGACTAAGCATAAGCTACAAGAAAACAGAATGCATGATCATCAGTAAGAGGATGAGCCCGAATTGCGAGTTGCAGGTCGGGAACACTAGAATCAAGCAGACGCGGAAATTTAAATATCTGGGAAGTGTTCTGACAGAGGACGGTAAATGCGACACTGAGATCCGAAGATGTATTGGGATGGACAAGGACGCATTCCAAAAGCTGGGAAGATTATTGTGAGACAGGAGGATTTCTTTGGTAACAAAGAAAAGAATACTGAGCTTGTTGCGTGACATCTGTCTTTCCTTACGGCAGCGAATGTTGGACGATTTCCTCAAAGGTGAAGAAGAGACTCTAGACGACAGAGATGTGGTTCTAAAAAAGGATGCTTAGGATATCATGGAACAAGCGTGTGAGCAACGATGATGTCTTAGAGAGGTTGCTAACGATGAAGAGAATTAGACTTAACATCAGGAAGAGGCAGCTGAAGTTTCTGGGACATATATTGAGGGAAGAGGACCTGGAGAATCTGATACTCACAGGTCGAATAGAGGGAAAGAGAGACAAGGGAAAACAACGTGTGACATACTTGGCGGGCTTAAGCAAGTGGATGACAGAACGTGGTCTTGGGGAGGTATCAGAGAGAAAGGAAGTTGGTGAGTGCTGCAATGGATAGCTGGAGGTGGAGAGCCATGATCGCCTACGTCCTGTAAACTCAAACTTCATCGTTGCTCACATGTTCAGTTCATGGTATTCTTAATATCCTTTCTTCGAATCGAATTTCTGGTCTCTTCTTCATCAGTGAGAAGATTGTTCACCATTCACTGCCATGTAGGAGGAGTGATATAACATATCTGTTCAGTAATCTTTTCTTTGTTTCTAACGAAATTTTCCTTTTTCTAATTACTATGCTTAGCTTTTGAAAAGCACCTTTCGCTATCCCAATGTGCCTTCGGAAATCTGAGAATCGAGTTCGAATTCCAGTCGTTCGTTACTTTCAGTTATGCTCAAATAACGTTGTGAAAGTTACGAATGAATCAATTTCTCCCAGTTATGGGTTAAATAGTAGGTTTTGTGAAAAGTCATTATTATCTCCAAATAATTTTTTTCACGCAATATTCACTTGCAAAAATGTTATAGTGGAACACACCTATTCTATAGTTAATAGACGCGCCCACCTATAATAAGTAGGAGGAGTAAAAGTAACGAGGGAGTCGCTCAGTGGTTCAGTCCGAAGTCGGACGACCGGCTGATCGGTTGAACTCTCTGCCTTCGGGCGGGGAGGAACCCGAACGAGGCTACGGCGAAGGGCAGTGTCTCTTTCGGGGAGGTAAACCGACCCTGAACCCGTTTATATGGGCTCAAAGGACATATTTTTGGCCGAGCCCACGGGTTCGGAGATCCCACGTTAAACCGGCCTTGTGCCACCTGATGCCCACGTGGGGGTGGTGACTAAATACCGTCGCTCAGTGGGTCGGTCAGTCAGTCGATGCTGGCTGACCGTTAGTCGGATACTAAAGTATCAGCGACCACAACTAGCTTTCTCTGCGTCATTACCTATTATATGAAGTTCCTAACGATTTGTACGTCGAACCTTTTTTAGGACCGACTTAGTACAAATACAAGCCTCCACTGTGAAACCACTCCATAACAAAAAATTATAAGAATTATTCTTACACCCCAAAAATATGTTTTGGCTTGAAATAAACCCAGCAGGAGTTGATAACAAATCCATCAATGTGCATAGTTGCTTTAGTCAGTAGCGAATTTCTTACCGTTGCTCGAGGTATGTGTTCAATCACCGGTCGACGATTTTGAATTTCCAAAGAGTAGCCCCATCCAATATTTTTCTTCTCATGTCTGCAGATATTGACCTTATATCGGACTCAAATAGGCTCAGCAAATATCAATGCTATTTCTGAAGTACAAATAACAGTGTTATCCCGCCTGTTTGCTTTCTTTGCTTGGTATGGTTTGTTTCGTTTTACAGCATATCAACCTCAATGGGTTATTTAATACAGATAATTTTTTTTTTATTTCTGGTAATATATTTTTACAAGAAAATGCATAGCTGGTAATATTTTTTCCAAAAATGTATTGCTGGTATTTTTTTTTTCAAAAATATATCCTTGGTAATATTTTATTTCAAAAATGCATTGCTGGTAATTTTATTTTTTAAAAATGTGTGGCTCGTAATAATGTATTTCTGGTAATACTTTTTTACAAAAAGGTATTTCTGGTATTAAAACCTATTTTTACACTTCCATAATGTTTTGAGCCCGGTTTAGATGTTAACTATTCGCCTATAGCTGGAACGCTAATAGGTGCTACCACCCCGAGTGAGGGTGGACCTGGGTACACCAGCAATTAAGAGGTGGTTGCGCCCTACTCAAAATCTAGGCCTTGATGTCGGACATAGTTTATCGTCTTACTGAGGACGCGGATAGAGTTTATCGTTTTACCCAGGACGCGGATATAGTTTATCGTCTTACGCAGGACGCGGATATAGTTTATCCTTTTACCCAGGACGTGTATATAGTTTATCGTCTTACCCAGGACGCGGATGTAGTTTATCGTCTTACCCAGGACGATGATATAGTTTATTGTCTTACGCAGGACGCGGATATAGTTTATCGTCTTACGCAGGACGCGGATATAGTTTATCGTTTTACCCAGGACGAGGATGTAGTTTATCGTCTTACCCAGGACGAGGATGTAGTTTATCGTCTTACCCAGGATGCGGATGTAGTTTATCGTCTTAAGCAGGATGCGGATGTAGTTTATCGTTTTACCTAGGACGCAGATGTAGTTTATCGACTTAAGTAGGACTCGGATGTAGTTTATCGTTTTACCCAGGACGCGAATGTAGTTTATCGTCTTACCCAGGACGCGGTTGTAGTTTGTCTTTTTTAGCCAAGACGCGGATGTAGTTTATCGTCTTACCCAGGACGCGGATGTAGTTTATCTTCATACCCAAGACAGGCGTTCTTTGCTTCGTTGTATCAATAATTTGCTATCAGTATTTCAAGGAAATTTAAACGCAAAGAAATTACACCGAAAAACAAAGTTAATTTTACGCCTGTTTTCTCCGATTTTCTTTACCCTTGCAGTCAAATAAAATCCAATATTAAATAACACAAACAAACCTATACAGATTTGAAGAAATGAATTTCTGAAGAAAAAAAATTAAACGGAAAATTGAAGTTAGCAAATTAAGAATTGCGAAACATTTTTAATTTAAATTCGAATTGTTGCTGTGAGACATTTTTAATTTAGTGAAAGAACGGACGAAGAAATGCACTTAGAAAAATGTTAATGTCGCAACTTAAAGATTGCAGAGTATGGAAATATTAAGAAAGACAATGATATTAAAAAAAATAAGACAGAATTAAAGAGACGAAATGTAAATTAGATTGGAAGGAAGGAAGGAAGGAAGAAAGGACAAGAAAAGAATGTCGACAGAAGGGAGGAAGAAATAGATAAATATATAAAGGAGAGGGAGAACCTTTTCTTTTTATGAAAGAGAGAAAGTGAGAGAGCGGAAAATAAAGTAAAATGGAGGTAAAAGATGGATATCGTATAGGAATGGGAAAGAGAAGAAAGAGAGCAAAATAAAAAGAGAAAGAATCTGAATAAAGAATATATTCGGGAGAGAAGATAGAAAAGGAGAGGTAGAAAAAAGAGAGAAAAAATGGAAATCTCAGCAGAGAAGGAAAGAAATATTTGAGCGAAGTTGACATAGATGAGAAAGAGTGAGGGAAAAAAGAAGAAAAATATGATATTCTTTCTATCATTATGAATGGATCCATATCTATCTATCTATCTATCTATCTTACTATCTATGTGAGTTGTTCATATCTATCTATCTATATATATATATATATATATATATATATATATATATATATATATATGTGTGTGTGTGTGTGTGTGTGTGAGTGTTTGTGTGTGTGTATGTGTGTGTGTGAGTTATCCATATCGAGATATCTGTTTTGTGAGTTATGTTGCTCTTATCTATCTATCTATCTATCTATCTATCTATCTATCTATCTATCTATCTATCTATCTCAGTCTTTTCCTATATATCTATCTATGTGACTTATTCATATCGAGATATCTATGTGAGTTATTTATATTTATCTATCTATCTATCTATCTATCTATCTATATATATATATATATATGTATATATATATATATATATATATATATATATATATATTTATATAAACTATGTGAGTTGTTCATATCGAGATATCTGTCTTTGTGAGTTATTAATATCTATCTATCTATCTATCTATCTATCTATCTATCTATCTATCTAGCTCAGTCTTTTCTTATCTATCTATCTATCTATCTATCTATCTATCTATCTATCTATCTATCTATGTGAGTTATTCTTATCTAGATACCTGTCTATGGGAGTTATTAATATCTATCTATCTATCTATCTATCTATGCTAATGCCTTTCCTCTGATAATATTTCAACCAGTTAAATGACGAAGAATTCGTTCATAAATTACTATAAAACTTTTAATATGATATTCAGAGAAATTAATCGGGTGGAATAACCGTCATTTGTTTTACTAAACTTCACCTGTGTAAAAAGGAGATATTATATATATATATATATATATATATATATATATATATATATATATATAATGTTAATGTCGCAATAATGTTAACATACTGATACCATATAGGTCAGTTAGATGTTTTCCAAAAAAACTGTCTGCATGCAATCTGTTGAGTTACGCTTCAAGATAGGACATCCTTTGTAGACTTGTTTAACAAGTGTAATATTGGAGGAATCATCCAGTCTCACTAACTGTGGACTGGTCATGTCTTGAGAATGTCTGATGACAGGATACCCAAGATCCTAATGTACAGCCAGTTAGATCAGGGCTACAGGAATGTAGGACGTCCATGGCTAGGATACAAAGACAAGCTGAAAAGCAACTTGGCAGCAGTTAATATATCACATAACACCCTTGAGCGCTTAGCCTTGGAGCAGGAAGAATGGAGACCAACGTGTTTTAGTGGACTCAGCAATTTTCAATCTGCTTGTCTGAATCATTTTCAAGAAGCAAGAGCAAGATCTAAAATGTCAGCCAATCTAGCAGTGATCTCATCTCACAATCCTTATACTTGCTCCACATGTGGCCTCCTTTGTGAATCACTAGCGGGTCTTAAATGCCGCGTAAGATTATCGCACAAAATTTCATAACTGAATCATGTAAGCTGTCAGACCCTCATACGTCGAAACGTATGTATATATGAAAAAATTCTCAGAGTTAACCTCTCGAAAAAAGTCAATATGTATAAAGGTTAAAAGCAATAGGAAAACAATATTAGCCGACGCTTTTCGACCAATGTGGACTTTTCCAATGCAAAAGCGAAATGAATTTATTAAAAACAAATTAACAAAATGTCCTTAGCAACTAGAAGAATTTAGAAAACGCTACTTTCGGCCCTGTGTCACATCTAAGCTACGCTTGGAAAATCACTATAAAAATTCTGTGGGCACCTCGCGGCAATGTAATGCTTAGCAAGCTTGTCTCCCTAAAACAATTACTATTGAGTAGTGAGTTCAATCCTCACTGGGTGCCCTCATTCTTTCGGGCTTGTCTCACATCTAAGCTACTCTTGGAAAATCACTAGGGTACCTCGAGGCCTTGTAATGGTTAGCATGCTTGTCTTGCTAAAACAATTATGACTAAGTAGTGAGTTCGATCCTCATTGGGTACCCTCTACATGTGACACATCTAAGCTCCGCTTGAAAAACGCTATACCAGGTTTGCAAGTATCTATCCGAAGAAGGCCACTTTAGGGACGGAATTTGCAAAGGATACATTCAGCATATCTTAAGCCTTGCTGACACAACACGCACATGTCAAATATAATGTTTGTTTTGGATCAAAGTGTAGTATCTGCCTTCGAGCAAACAAGCAACATTAATTGTGTATTTGTCTTCGGGCAGAACGCAACTGAAAATATTATTGGGAGCTACCCGATCTTGGGTAAAAGCTACCCGCGGAGTGCCTCCCTTATTGTATTAAATAGGGAAGATCGGCAGTAACACCGATGCCAGCGCGACCGACAAATTCGGTGGCTGGGCTCTATTTATACGAGTCCCCGATGGCCGCGATATGGCACCCTACAGGAAACTGAACTTGTGTCACATCCTTTCAGCCAAGGGGTGGCAAGCAAATACATTTTCAATGTTTCACGTAATGGCTAATTTCTCCAAGACGTTCATCTTCATTATGTGGCCACCAATGAATATATAACGCGAGTGACAGAACTAATTTCAACTCGGAATTAAATTTTGTTCGAGGCTAATTTCAACTCAGAACTAATTTTAACTCGGAATTAATTTCTACTCGTCATTAATTTAAACTAGGAATTAATTTCTACTCGGAACTAATTTCAACTCGGGATTAATTTCTACTCGGAATAAATTGCAACTCGGAATTAATTTCAACTCGGAACTAATTTCAACTCGGAACTAATTTCAACTCGGAATTACTTTAAACTCGGAACGAATTTCAACTCGATATAAAAAACCCAACTCCTAACCATAACCTTAAGTTGCGAGGTGAAATTAGTTCCGATTTGAAATTAATTCTGCAGCAATATAATGCTTATCAATTTTAAACACGGATATTAAAACTCAATAATTTAAAAGCAAACGTTTTGAAGTGGTTCGTCTTGACAATTCTTCTTGTATTTTTCCTCGGGCTTTTGAAGTTGTATTCTACCGCCCGTGAGCCATTGTTTAAAACAACTGTGTAAGAACTCGCAGACGTTAATATTGAATATCATTCACATCTTGCCGGGAAAATAGCACATTTTCAGGTATTACACCTGAAAATAACGCTTTCGATCAAATTAATACTTTTTTCTAATGATGGCGTGCTTTTAGTCCAATGTCTTGAAGAAATGCTAGTTAAGTTATTTTCTTGAAATTCATTCGATCTTTTGTCGGCGAACAAAAGTAAGCGTTCGATATGAAGAAAACTTTCACCAAGTATATGCACTTTTGACATGTTTCATTGATTTCTATCGAAATCATCATGTACAATCTCTTACAATATATATATATATATATATATATATATATATATATATATATGGATGGATGGATGGATGGATGTGTGTGTGTGTGAAGAGAGGAGCTAACAGAGAGAGAGGAGGTTTGGTCACGATGAACAAATATATATATATATATATATATATATATATATATATGTAAATATGTGTGTGCCAGAGAGAAGTGGGGAGTTAAAAGAGAGAGAGAGAGAGAGAGGGGGGAATTTGGGTAGAATGAACAATCGCAATAAATAGCAGAATATACTTCTTCATAATTTCAGACATTTTTCGAACAATTCACCTCCTGAAGAAATTAAAAAGTAGACCATTTTTGTTATACTTTTTCTTAATCTGCGAAAAGGATTTTGCAAAGTATATTTCTCGAAAATGTAGCTATTTATTTCGATATATATATATATATATATATATATATATATATATATATATATACAGAGAGAGAGAGAGGTACAGAGACAGAAACAGATAGATAGATAGATAGATAGATAGATAGATAGATAGATAGATCTGAGTTTGGGATCAGATACAGATCAAATATTGATTTGAATCCGACAGAATGAAAAGATAAAGAACATGTAGGAAACGTTTATCAATCTAAAATGTATCGCTTTTATTAAAACTTTTTCCGCGACTGAGTTATGGAAAAAATATGAAATTCTGGTACTTTTACTTCTGCGTTTTTTAATTTTCGGCATGTCTATCAGATACACACACAATCACACATAAATACAAACAGAGAGAGAGAGAGAGAGAGAGAGAGAGAGAGAGAGAATTATGAATATACACGGTGGTCCGAAAGTCTTGTTACCCGTAAACAATATAATTTTCTATTTCAGATGTCTGACACGTGTTCCTACAGTTTGGAAGCGAGTTAGCGGGTCACAAGATTTTCGGACCACCTTGAACATTATTATTGAATGTGCACATAGACAAACTAGACTTTTTATACACTTACATACACAAAACAATATTAACAGTTTTTCAGTTAGGCTTGGAAATTCAATTTCTGGAAACTTCGAATGGACGCATCACCACTTCTTGTTTGAATGCTACTAATTATTATGACATTGGATTAAAAGACTCGAATGCATGTGATACAACACAAAAGTAAAAATACCATAATTTTTTTCTGTTTTTCCTCCATATGAGAAAGCTTTAAGAATAGTAAAACATGTATGATTGATAAATATTTCCTATTTTTTATCATCTCAACATATATATATATATATATATATATATATATATGAACAATAAAAAATATTAAAAAATTAAAATCTTCAGACACACTAGGTTGTAGATTAATATTCTTTCGTTTTTTTTATTATTATTATTTCATTTAGATTCCTCGACTAGTTTCGACCAAAATGGCCATCATCGGGAGAAGAAATATTTCTGCTTGCTGGTAGCAGTAAACTACAGAAATGAATGCCTTGATGGAGAAAATGAACTTTTGTCTGTAGTTTTCATTTGTTTTTTTTTATTTTGTTATCCTTTTAACATGAATCTTTTAACATTCCTTGTGTTGGTCAAACAGTCTCTTTTAAGTTGTTATTTGAGATAAGACCTGGATGGATCTATGCTTCCCTAAATTCCCTTGGTCAGTTTGACAGTTTTATTGGTCCTGGAGAGGTGATGTGTCTCTGTTTAGTGTTTGTGTGTGTGATATTTGGTTCTTAGGGAGTGAGTGAGTATGATATGTGTAAGCGTGTGTATTGCTGTGGGTGTGTGTTATCATTTGGCTCATTAGGGAGTGAGTGAGTATGATGTGTGTAAGTGTGTATATTCGTGTGGGTGTGTGTATAAGTGTTAGACCTCCACACCTCCGTAAGCATGTCAGTCTTGTGTGGGTGAGAAATGTGGGTAGGTTTTGATTTGTAGAGTTATATATTAGTACTATCTATATTGTTAAATTTATGGTTTAGCCCGGCTGGATATTGTGTTTTTAGACGTTATATCTACTTATTTTCATGGAACTCTAAAATCTTTCTAATGTTATCTGCTCTGAACTTTTCTATTCTCTCAATTATAGTGAATTTGGCATGGGTTTTGAAATCGTGTTTTTCCAGGAGGAAATGTTGTTCTACAGGTAATAATTTTTCATAGGGAGTCGACTTAATTCGATTGCGATAATTATTAATTCTGTAGTGAAAGGGCCATTCAGATTTTCCTACATATTGTTTCTGGCATAGTGTGCATTCTAGGAGGTAAATTATGTTATGACTTCTACAGTTAGAATCGTGGTAGATTTTGAAAGTAGATTTAGTGATTGAGCTAGTGAATGAATTCGTGTTTTTAATATGGTTGCAACATAAACTTCTTTACATGGTTGGGAAAATCCTGTTGTTTTTGTTCTTAGTTCATTACGGATTACCTTGTCCCCTGAAATGTGGTTACTACCTATGATTTCTTTTAGGTTCTTAGGTCTACGACATGCATGAAGGCCGGGTTCCTTAAACAGTTTTTTTAGGTCTGGTTTGAGATGTAGTATTTCCCAGCGACGTTTGATTATTTGGGATAGTGGAGGCAGAGTGGGATTGAAAGTGGTTACTAGAGGGATGCGGCTAGATTTATTTTTAATCTTGTACATTAGGGTGTCTTCTCTAGGTGTGGAAATTGCTTTATTTATTTGTTCCCTGATTAGGTGTTGTTTATAGCCACATGTTGTGAATTGATGCTCCAGATTTTCAATGTGTTTATTTAATTCTTCATTGTTGGAACATATCCTTCTGAGTCTAAGTGCTTGTGAATAGGGAAGGTTCTCTTTGAGGTGTTTAGGGTGGGAAAACTTAAAGTGTAGATAGTTGTGGTTGTCGATTATTTTAGTGTGTAGTGTCGTTTGTAGTTTCCTGTTTTCATCTATGTAAATGCGGGTGTCTAAAAATGTTACTGATGTTGTGGATTTTTCATAGTCAAACTTAATTGAGTCGTGCACTGTGTTTAGGGTCATAAGGAATTGGGTAAATTTGTCATCACTACCCGTGAATACAAAGAATATATCATCGATATATCTTGCATAGAATACGCAGTCGCTACCAATGATTGGATAGATATGGGTCTCCTCAAATTTTCCCATGAATATTGTAGCATATGATGGAGCTGCAATGGTGCCCATGGCACAACCTCTTATTTGAAGGTAGTGTGCTCCATTGAAGTTGAAAGTAGTCAATGTAAGGACATGCTCCATGAGTTTTATGATAACTTCTGTGGGGGTGTCTTTTTTTCTTCTTTTAGCAAGTGCTTCCTGAAAGGCGGTTAGCCCTTCGATGTTTTTAATGTTTGAATAGAGTGGTCTAACGTCCATAGTCAGTAGAATATCATTCTCTGGTACTGTTTGTATGTGATTAATTTTGTTCAGTAGATCTGTTGTGTCTCTGATGTAGGATTTTACTTCCTTAGCTGGCGGTTGTATGTAATGGTCTATGTATTTGGAAATTTTTGTCGTGTGGCAGTTGAACGATGAAATAACCGGCCTTCCTGGGTTGTTGCTTTTGTGTATTTTAGGAAGGATATAGAAACGAACAGGTGTAATGTTTGTGGGTGTAAGTGTTGTGCATGTTTCCTTGTTGATTAGATTGTTGCGAAGCATTATGTTTAGTGAGCTAGTTAATTCTTTTTGGTATTCTGGAATGGGATCTGTAGGTATGCTTTTATAGGTTTCTTTGTCGGCTAGCTGTTTGTTGGCCTCTTTAATGTATTCTTCGATTCCCCAGATCACTGTCGCACACCCTTTGTCAGCCTGTGTTATGATTAGGTCATCTCTATGTGTCAGCGTATCGAGGGCTATACGTTCCCCTTCAGTAATATTGTCACGTGGCAGCTTACGTGCTATTGTTTACTTTATGTCATTTGCTACGGCTAGTTCAAATGTCTGTATAGTAATGTCTATGTTTTGTGGGGTGTAGGTTGTGTCCTTCTCTTTTAATGTATCAAGTATGGAAGTTGTGTGATCATTTTCCCCATAGTGGGCTTTTAACCGTATTCTCCTGAAGAAGGATTTCAGGTCCTTTGCCAAGGTGTCTTTATCAAACCTTGGGGACTGGTTTGAAAAAAATTAGTCCTTTATTTAATACCCTGAATGTATTGAGTGAAAATTTATTGTTACTCAAATTTATAACTCGCCCGTATCGGTCAAGTTTGAATTTGCAAGCATGGGTTCTTTTGTAAAAGCTCGAAAGCTTGCATCAGCATCCCTAATAGGAGATATGATGCAAGGAAAACATTAGAAAGATTTTAGAGTCCCATGAAAATAAGTGGATACAACGTCTAAAAACAAAATACCCAGCCGGGCTAAATCATAAATTTAACAATATATAGATAGTAACAATATATAACTCAACAAATCAAAACCTACCCACATTTCTCACCCACACAAGACAGACATGCTTACGGAGGTGTGGAGGCCTAACACTTATACACACACAAACACGAATATACACACTTACCCACATCATACCTGTTTACCCCTAATGAGCCAAAATGACAACACACACCCACAGCAATACACACGCTTACACATATCATACTCACTCACTCCCTAAGAACCAAATAACATACACACAAACACTAAACAGACACACATCCCCTCACCAGGTCTAATAAAACTGTCAAACTGACCAGAGAATTCTGAGTACCATGTATCTATCCAGCTCTTATCTCAAATAACAACTTATAAGAGACTGTTTGACCAACACAAGGATTGTTAAAAGATTCATGTTAAAAAGATAAAAAAATAAAAAAAACAAAAAAAACAAATGAAAACTACAGACAAAAGTTCATTTTATATATATGACATTTTTTATGCTTATAAGTTCTTTTTATACATACAAATATTTAAGCAAATGCACTGTTTATATTAAACAGTATTAACATTTTTCATAGATAATATGCCCCCTTTGACAGGAATCGAACCTGTATCCTATACAGAATCGTTACATAGCTGACATGATTTAACTGATTGGGCCACAGAGGAGCGTCCGGTTAGCATAGGCGATTTTACTGGTTTTAATAACAATTCTCCATAATTTTCTCTCATACATTCATATCTGCTCGATGCGTATACAAACGAATGACGTCACACATTATAAAATGGACAAAGTCCGACAATTATGGTTAAGGCGTTTATATACGTTCTTTTTTATAGATACAAATATTTAAGTAAATGCTCTTTTTCTAATATTTTTTTTATATATATATATATATATATATATATATATATATATATATATATATAGAGAGAGAGAGAGAGAGAGATAGAAAAGAAAGATAGATAGATAACTAAAACTAATTACTATTGGAATTAGCATGATCCTCGTATGCACCGCCATCAATGAAACAATTCTTTGGATATGCCGATCTGAACCTATATATATATATATATATATATATATACATGCAGAAATATAGTATTAAAGTGTGGCATATTTATGGGATAAAGTGCTCAGTATCAGAGATAGAGCGTATGTAAATATAATTATAAAAGTGAACATTGAAGTCAACACTCAGTGGCGACAGGCTGTTTTATGCCTGACGCAATCGTCCGGCCGCGAGTGCTGGATTTTCCTCTAATGTTTATATATATGGGTCAGTGGTCGCTAGTGTGTAATCCAGTCTGGCGGTTATTTTGTCGAAAGTGGCTTGTTTATTTATTTATTTGGGTTAATTTGTTTTTCTTTGTTATTTTTTATTTTATATATTTATTTATTCTTTTCGGTTTTCGATGCTTAATTAACCTTAGTAAAAAAAATTGGGGAGATTTTTTTAGGTCGCTTATTTAATAGTTTGTTTTGGCCAGGGAAGATAAAGCTATTTATTCGTCCAATTTTTGGATAGATTGCCGTAGTCTATTGCTATTTTGGCGGGGGACAGTTTTTAATTTTTGTTTTTTTATGTTGCTGTTCCATAGTTGGGACCCTAACGTGTCAGGGTCCCAACTATGCACCAACAAACAAATACAAAATACTATGAAAGTATAAAAATACAATTTTATAGTAAAAATACCAACAAGACATTTTTATATAAAATATGACCAGCAATAACTATTTGCAGTAAAATAACCAACAATACATTTTTAAAAACAAAATGACCAGCAGTTCAATTTATCTGTAGTTGAATGCATAAAATTGCGTTCCAAATTTTTAGATTTCGGCATTAAATAACCCGTAGAGGTTAATATGTCGCTAAACCAAATCAACCAAACAACCAGTATGAAAGAACTCTTTCATGACATTAATCCATATAATATACTAAGATTTCTTATAATATAAAGCTCTCAAATCCATTTTCAGACATCGAATAACATAATGACAGGTTGGTTCAACGTCAGGTGAATGTAGGCGAAAAGGTAAAACAGATCAACTGAATTCCAAATCAGTTTCCCGAGTTATTCTTATTCTTGGAGGAAAACTAAGTTTTTGCCTTAATCCACCGCGAACGTTGCTATTGTCGTTCAAAAACTAAAGTATCTTAGTGTTATAAAGTTCCTAGAATATACGTAGTTATACGGGTTATTAATACGGCAAAGGAAATACTGGAAAAAAAGGTTGAAGAACAGGTTTAATCACATCTGCATCTTCCTTTTCTTTTTCTTTCTTTCTTTCTTTCTTTCTTTCTTTCTTTCTTTCTTTTTTCATATACTTCTCTGCGTCTTTTTCTTTCTTTCTATATTTTTTTTTTCTGCCTTTATATTTTTCTTTTTCATATTCTTCTTCTTCACCTCTCTTTTCTTTCTTTCTTTCTTTCTTTTCTTCACACCTCTATTATACTTTTCTTTCGTCTTTCTTCCTTTCTTTTTCTGCCTATATTTTTCTTTTTTATTCTTCTTTTCACACCTCTCTTTTTCTTTCTTTCTCTTTTCTTTCTTTTCTTTTCATACCTTTCTTTCTTTTTTCTGCGTCTTTCTTTTCTTCTTTTCTTTTTCTGCCTATATTTTTCTTTTATTCTTCTATTCTTCTTCACTTCTCTGCGTCTTTCTTTATTTTTTTCTATATTTTTTTTTTCTTTCTTTCTTTTCATATACTTCTCTGCGTCTTTCTTTCTTTCTTTTTCTGCCTATATTTTTCTTTTCATATTCTTCTTCACACCTCTATTTCTTTCTTTCTTTCTTTCTTTCTTTCTTTTCATATACTTCTCTGCGTCTTTCTTTCTTTCTTTTTCTGCCTATATTTTTCTTTTCATATTCTTCTTCACACCTCTATTTCTTTCTTTCTTTCTTTCTTTCTTTTCATATACTTCTCTGCGTCTTTCTTTCTTTCTTTTTCTTTTTCTGCCTTTATATTTTTTTCTTTTCATATTCTTCTTCTTTTTCTCTATTTCTTTTCTTTCTTTCTTTCTTTTTTCTTTTCATATACTTCTCTGCGTCTTTCTTTTTTCTTTTCTTTTTTCTGCTTTTTTCTGCCTATATTTTTCTTTTCATATTCTTCTTCACACCTCTATTTCTTTCTTTCTTTCTTTCTTTCTTTTCATATACTTCTCTGCGTCTTTCTTTCTTTCTTTTTCTGCCTATATTTTTCTTTTCATATTCTTCTTCACACCTCTATTTCTTTCTTTCTTATTATTCTCTGCATCTTTCTTTTCTTTCTTTTCATATTCTTTTCTTTTTCTTTTTTTTTCATGATTTCTTTTCATATTATCCTCTGCGTCTTCTTTTCTTTATTTCATATTATTTTCTTTTTCTTTTTTCTTCTTTCTTTCTTTCTTTAACAAGTCGCTCTCTTCTATTTCATATTTCTGTACGCTGTCTTTCAATCTTTTCTTTCTTTCTTCTTTCTTTCTTTCTTCTTTCTTTCTTTCTTTCTTTCTTTTCCTAGTTAGTAAATTCCATCTATTTCCTTCTTCTTGGAAGCTCCGATAGCTTCAAATGGACGACTGTAGACTTATATATTCCGGGCAATCAAATTGAGGATAGATCTGAAAAGCTACAACCATGGTCGGAGAAATGACTGCTGAGAAAAGAGTCCATAGGACTGAGAAAGAAACAATGCAGTGTTAGCATCGGAAATCAAGGGGAGACAAATCGGTCACTGACGCATTCATCCCAGCGGCCTCATGTTTTCAATTCAGCCAATGAAAAATAAAACATGAGGCATTTTCCAGTCAAGTTTTCATATCGTTTTTGCTGACATGCATGTCGTCTGGTCGCACGGCTCTATCGCTTCTGTAACCTTCACCTTCATAAATAATGATATGTTGACATCATTATTTATGAAGGTGAAGGTTACAGAATGATTTGATGTCGTAAAGTTGCATTCGCTGGCTTTCTTTCCTTATTTTTATTTTCTTTTATTATATTTTTCTTTCTTTTTTTTCTGTTATAAAGTACGTAGAACGTTCGTAGCTTTGGTTAATAACAAAGTAAGGGAATACTGGAACAATTGGTTGATTGAGGGACAGGTTTAATTACATGGGAAACATGGATTAATTATACAGTAATAGGGAACACCGTAGTTCAGTGTCGCAATATGTACGCCTCAAACGCTACGTCTTATCACCCACATTGCCTCGAACGTACCCAGAGAGGATGGACGAGTCTATGTTGAACCGTTAGTGTAGAGAAGGTGGGTTATCTTTTGACAAAGTGCAATCTGAGTTTATTCCAAGATGTTGCGTATTGTTCATATCTAGGAGGATACAATCGCCATTTAAGTTGGGTCATCAAACGGACAGTTCTTATGACAAAACCATAAAGACATTGTTCGAGAAAAATACAATTATTTTTTGCTGATGAAGCATCTGATATATATATATATATATATATATATATATATATATATATATATATATATATATATATATATATATATATATATATATTAAGTAATTCATCAGTCTAGAATAAACCTCAACAGAATGCAGAAAGAACTGGACGGGCGTTTCGTCATATATTTGGGACTCATCAACAGTGCATCCACTACCAAGAATTGAAACCTGTTAGTACAATTGCCTGTCGCCTGTCAATGTAACAAATATCTTGAAATACTAGTGAGTAAATTTATTCATTAAAATCGACAATGGTTTTAAACACAGTTTGCAGACGACTTCGGAGTCTCGTGGAACTCTTCTGAACGGTATCTCTAAGTTGGTAAATGCTACTTGCCTTTATTTAATTTTTGGGGTTACAAGGGGTTTTTCTAGGTATGTTGCTCAAATATACCCCACAAATAATAATCAAGGGGATTTCCGTCTGGGGAGTTTGGTGGCCAGATGTAAGGGGTGATGTGATAAAAGAAATAGTGTGAATTTTCCCGCTTGATTTGCATGGTGCAATGTCCTGTTGCCAGAAATGGGTCTTCCAGCAGCCATATTCTTGGCCCGGGCCACCACTTCATTGTCAAGGCACTTGATGTCGATCTGCGTTTTGAGACTGAGGCCCTGTGGGAAGATGAATGGATGCATAACGTCGCCGTAACTAGCCATCACACGAAACCACAAGATTTTGATTGGATATATAATCCATATCTATTCGAACCTGCCTCCCTTAGAAGCAACTGACATTCGATGTGATGTGCATTGACCACTCAACCACGGAGGACTAGCTGATCAAACGGAAATAAATGAATAAATATGACGTTTAATAAACAAATAAAAACAGAGCATCTACTCAGATATGAGTAGCCATTGAAAGTAACTTTTGAACGAAGTAAAAATATATATCCGATTATTATATATATATATATATATAATATATATAAATAGATAGATAGATATGTATCTCTCTCTCTCTCTCTCTATATATATATATATATATATATATATATATATATATATATATATAGAGAGAGAGAGAGAGATAGATAGATAGATAGATAGATAGATAGATATTAATAACTCATATAGATATCGGATATGAATAACTCACATAGATAGATAGATAGATAGATAGATAGATAGATAGATAGATAGATAGATAGGTATGAATACAGATATATAGATATACATACATACATACATATATATATAGAGAGAGATAGATAAATAGATAGATATAGATATATAGATATATAAATCTATATCTGTCTCTCTCTATATATATACATACATATATACATATATATATATATATATATATATATATATATATATATATATATATATAAAATGTGAACATAGAAGTCAACAATTAGAGGCGACAGTCTGTTTCATGCAATCGTCAGGCCACCTGTTTGCATCTAGCATGAAGCAGACTCTTGCCTCTAAGTGTTGACTTCTATGTTCACATTTATATTTACACACGCTCTATCTCTGATATTGAGAACTTTATCCCATAAATATATCACATCTTGACTATATTTCTTCATATATATATATATATATATATATATATATATAGATAGATAGATAGATAGATAGATAGATAGATGAGCCTGGCGTTAACAGATATGAGGAAATTGTTAAAGATATATAGATAGCTAGATATTCATGACATTGCTAGATCTCCGTATATATCAATAGATAGACAGAGATAGAAGTATATCCCTATATACATATGGAGATTTTAGATGTCTGCATATTTGCCACTGCCAACGAATACTTTCCATAGATTATTAATTCAATGCTTGCCATAGGAAAGCTGCCCTCCTACGCATTGCGAAATGTACGTTTTAATTAAAAAGAAATCATTATTGCTTTATATTAAAATAAGTCGTTGAAGTATTCTCGAACCGTTCTTTCATGTTTATTATGCCTCTTTCCAGAAAATGTTCTACCACTTAACTTGATGAAAGTGCTAAGTGTTCTTTTGGAATATTGAATATTTCATCATAAAAGCCTGACAAGCTCGAGGCTTGGTTAAGTTACACTGATGGATATGGAAGATTTTTTTGTGTTATTAAGTGGTTTTAAGTTAGCTAAAGACTTTAATAAAGACGAAAAGATAAGTTTGAGGATCTTGCTGAAGATAATATCGCCTCATCGTTTATTAAACAAGATCATTTAAAAAAAGCCAAAAATATCTCTCCTGACAAATAGTCATTAGTGTCATTAATTGTTCAGTCTGAGTTTTCACTCATAATTAGACGTATACTAGTCCTGTCTGATATTTTGGAATTAAATGTTTTCGTTAACGTAGATTTATAGTAAATATGAGTTCAATGACTTGGAGGGTCAGTGCAGATTTAACCTCAGTTGAAGTGGGGTTGTCAACTATTGAGCAGTATTAAAGTTAAAAACTAGACGATCTCGCCCTAGATATTGTCAGCTGAACGAGAATAATCTGACTTGCTTATTTCATCGCTTCTCCTTTTGTTGTGGGTCGGGAAGCGTGGACCCTTGCATCAATGCTTTCCACGCTTTCTTTCTCTTGTCACGACCGAACTCTCCACCAGCCTTAGCCATATAACCAATTTAGCGACACCTCCTTCTCAGGCACCTCTAAAATATCATAAATCTCTATAGGGTTGATATCTATCCGTGTTTATCTATCTATATATCAATCACTTTTAATATTAAAATCTTTGGGCGTTTCCTTTTTTTTTTTTTTTCTTTTTTTTTTTTTTTCTCCCTCTTCCTTTTGTCTGGACTAAGGACCCCATTTATTAAAAATTTCGACCTGAAGAGATGAACATTTTTGTATTCATGAAATAAATTATAACCGAATGGATTTTTAAGGATCGTCTGATATCATGATTATATATATATATATATATATATATATATATATATATATTATTTATATTGGATAGATGTGAGTTTGTGACCCTGAAACAGGGGCTTTCGATTATAAAATGTATGAATGTAGCGATTTCGTGAAAAATCAGTGTATAGAATGTGAAAGGTGCCTCTGAGGAAATCTATCCAACCAGATGATGGGAGATTTGCCTGAGGTTAGATATTGAGCAGTGCCTCCCTTTGCATACTGTCTTATGTTATATAAATAATTATATATATATATATAAATATATATATATATATATATATATATATATTTATGGGTGCTTAAATGACTTTTCACACACACACATACATAAATATATATATAAATATATATATATATATATATATATTTTGATTTAAACACACGTTATGAAATGGACAATTATTTTAAGACTTTTTTTAGACAGATACATTCTTTTTACATACAAATATTGAGGGTATGCTAAACAATGGCAGAAATTCAGAGAAAATTTCTCGGATATTCAGGCCTTTGTTAAATAAAATACTGTTTATTATAAAAAGAGCATTTTATTCTTCTCACTCCAAATATTTGTGACTTTAAAAAACATATATCATATTAAAACCTCCTGGCAAATTGATATAATGGAAACAGACATGTTAATGTCTTTGATTTAATTATTTTGCAGTTTTGTCCGCTGCAATGATTTGACAAACGGACGTTAAGGAAACTTCACATAGTTGTCTGAAACATGTCAGACAAAAGGTGAAGGTTGAATTACAAGAGTTGATCCCTGGATTGGCAAGTCACCTTTTAAAACAACCAACATGAGACAACCTGATAAATATTAATTCATACTTTTTACCAAAACATTCTAAACCTTTGGATTTGTTCACAAATATAGTTGTACCAGACATTGGAAATTATAAATATATATATATATATAAAATATTTTTCAAAATATTGATAAAAAAAAAAGTTTGATATATAATATGTGTGTGTGTGTGTGTGTGTGTGTGTGTGTGTTAAATGCAAGTGTAAATATAAACGATTGGACGAGGGCAACTTAACAGAGTCCCCAACGTTCTACTAGAATTAATCCGAGATAGGTGACCAAGCTCTTGTACCAGAAATTAGAAATTTAAATTACTACTAATACAGGATGTAAACTCCTAAAGGGAATCTATGTATTTGACTAAA